GGCTAGTTCATTTAGAATTAGCCAGTTCCAGGCTGAGATTGCCAAATTTCTGACCCTGACTGACAAAAAAGCCCACCTGAGTTAATGGGCTCATAGCCATCTAAAACACCTCTGTGCCTCCCCTCCAAATCTCAGAGCACTTCTGATACTCACTTCCTCATTTCACACACAGGGATCCTCGGAGATGGGGACTGGCTCCCACACAAACCCCAGCTGGTTAACGTGGCCTCCTTAGGGCTGGAGGAAACAAGGCTGGGAAGAGGACAGGACAGAAGACTGTAAAATCCTGGGTGACATGGAAAAGCTGACTAAGGAGCAAGTAACCACACTTTCTCATAGCCCAAGGGTTGGAGGAGCCTCAAGTGATACTGTGGCAGTGGCAGGCTGGAACCTTTCCAGGATGATGAATGATCCTGGGGCACTTGTTACCATGTGGTAGAACAAATTCTTTTAGGTAGGCTCGGGCTCAGAAGTGATGAGGCAAATGAGATCTCATGAGGGTGTTTTGAAGGCAAAAATGTCCTCTCTGTTGCAGAAGGTGCCTGAAAAAGCGGGGTATGTGTTGGTGCAGTGCTGCTTCATGCTCTCCCTCATCTTGTGCTCTTTATCCAGATATTTGTTACTGGCTGTTGGACACAGAGGGTCAGGCTCAGTGTGGCCATTCACATGGAACAGCAGGTCTTAGGCTGTAAATATAATATGAAATAATCACTTTGAGACAGTACAGATTTGCTTTTGGGTTCTCTTACAGGGTGTAAATACTTTAGATGCTATTTGAATACAGTTGAATAGCAAAGTGGTTTTGCCTTTTAGAGCTTTCCTTCTTTTAAGCTGAAAGAGAGTAATTGCTAAAATCTAAGGCTATTCAGACAAAATTTCATTGCTGAAAAGAAGGTTATGCATGCAAATCTGCATGGTACACATGTTTGATTTGATGTCTAAGTAAGTTTCAAATATGTATCCAAATGTTAAGATGCTGGCAGAGATTCAACCAGGCTAATATCAAACTTCAGCTGTTGCTTCAACACACTGGATATGTATTTTGCCTAATTTATGTTTAGTTCTAACAGTGACAAGCTGTGTTGCCCTAACTGTAGTTTCAGAAAAAGCTGTACTGTTTTTGTTTTTTTTTTTTTTCCTTCTGTTGTTTTGTTGTTCTAGAAAACAGTGAAGTTACTGTGAAGGTTCTGGTCTTCTTAGAAAGTTAAATTTCTTTTAAAAATCTTTTTCTTTGGCTTTAGATTTATAAGCTTTGAGCATAAAATAGGGCCATTGAGTATGTTCACCTCTGGACCTGATTTTTGTGTTGACATAGCCAGTTTACTATACACTGAAGTACTTGACTGTGCCCATGTTGGTATTTTAAGATAGGGCTCAGACAAACATTACTTCTGCAAATGCAAATCATGATGGTCACACCACATAACTTTGGTTGCTTCATTTCAGGTTTCCCTTTTGCTTTAAGCTGGTCTGGAGAGAGATTCCTGTAGGAATCCTGTGAACCATCTCTGAGAGGAGATTGAAATGGGACTGTCCTCTCAGAAGCGTCTCACTTTATGCATATAAGCACTTCTGTAGGAATATCACAAAATCCTTATTTCCTTTTAAAAATAAAATTCAAAATCCCATTGAGTAGGAAACTAGGTAGTAATTGGGGGTTTTTAGTGAAAGTCTTTGTACTGTATAACTAAATTGTACACCATTGTAGCAGATTGCAGTTCTGCACCATAGTTCAGCTAACATTTGCATTAAGTGCATGGAACTGGAAATGTGTGTAAAATAAGAGTTTTTCCTTTTTCTTAATGGGAAGAGAGGAGGAAAACATCCTAAAATATTTCCTATCAGGTGCAGTAATCCAGGGAGTACTAAATTGGGGAATACCATTCCTAAAACATGACAAAATCCTACAAGCCAGTGGGAAGGAAGAGATATTATGAAATATACAGAAAAAAGCACTAGGAAATCAGAATAGTGAAAATTGGATATCTCTGTGGTGTATAGATCTTTCCAAATTTGTTTCTCTTCCTGGAACTGCAGAGGATGCCTTGACTGAAGACAACGATTAAGAGAAACGTAGCTTCAGAAGGCATGTGGTTCACCACTTCCCTCAGGAAAGCTTGGTATCAGTAGAGAAAAAAAAGATATTTGAATTGTATTTTGGAATAGGACATTCTGTTCACAGTGCTGTGAAATCATGGTATCATGATAACCTTCCTCTCTTTCTTCCTTCTAATCTGGGCTGGTATTTATTCTGCACTCTGCTGAAGACTCCTTTCTGTGTAAGAGAGAATTCAAAACAAGTAGCTCCTATAATTTTGTGTGCTTAAACCAAACAAGCAACACTTGTGTTGTTGTGGTTCGTTGCTGTAAAGTAAGGAAGAAGATAACAAAATGAATCCCTGAAAACCCAGGCTTATCAAAACATCTGCTGTGTTAAATATTCACATCTATGATCTTAATGCCCAAGCCATTAGCAGCCATGGGAATTTCAGGTAGATACTCCACAGTAACATATGTTGTTTAATTGTTTGTCTGCCTTTAAAGGGCAAAATTGAAGAGCATGAAGGTTTCCAAAATCAGAGTGGGAAAAAGTGAAGAAGCAATGAGAGAGAACCTCTGTGAAATGTGTGTCATTATACACACATATCATGGTATCAAGGTGCTGTGGGCACAGCTCCATTTTAATAGGATTTGATACGGGAATGGCATCAGGGCTTGTGGCTCGTACACTTAGACTTCTTCCTTCTATAGGTTTTCCAGGTGCTTTTTAGAGTCAGTAGAGGTTGTAGGTTTTTCCTGCAATTCAATGAAAGTTTTTAACATTTTCTTCCTCATATGCATAGTCAGGATAATGCTGAGGTGCCCTTTACCTGCAATTGCTTAGCCTGGCACAAAGGAAATGCAACAGTAGTATTCAGAAAAAGAGAAGAAAAGATTTAATCAATTTACTGGGTAAATGCTGTCTTCCATTAGTTGAAACAATTACTAGAACAATTAAATGCCCACATGTCCACGGCCAGTGTAGTCTTGACTGTCTTTCCAGTTCTTTCCTTTGGGATTCCAAAATTTATGCTGGGCTTTGTCAATTAATATCTTTCTAGTGAGTGTGAAATTACAATTGTTACTTCAATAGAGAATGTCCCATAGCTTTACGTTGTTAATTCTCCTGCCCCAAATGATCTCCCAAAGGGAATATGAAGTTACAGGTGCACATCCATGACTGGAGAACAAACACTTTAGTATGGTAATGTTCAGAAAATGAAAGAAAGGCATGAGAAATCCATAAGACATGGCATTCACGTTGCTTATTGAGGTAACTTTGTTTCCCAAAGTCTTCACAAAATCTTTGATATTATTCAGTATGTCTGCTAGCACAGACAGAGTTGCAAAATTAAGTGCTTGAATGCTGAAAACTGTCCAGATGACCTTAAGCTGTCATCAGCGTTTGTGTTATTTTCACAGATTTTGATAAACTGTACTTCTGAACTTTGCCTACAAGTGCTGTACGTTTCAGGTATGCTGTAGAGAAATACTTCCTCCTTCAGGTATGCTGTAGAGAAATACTTCCTCCTTGTCAAATCTGGTAGGGTGGCTTTAATCCATGGCCTAATTCTAAGATAAACTTTCTCAAAAATCCACACAAATAAATATAAGAAAAAACCACAAAGAGTGGACTTCTTCTACAGCTGTAATTAAGTAGCAAATCACAGGAAAACCTTTCTGGTGTTTGATAAAAGAAGTGATGTTTAGCAGACTGATTATTCCTACTGTTTGCTAATAGTACTATGTTCAATTTTCAGTTCGACAAAGCTGGATAAGAGACTGTGGTGCTAATTTGAGTTGAGTACTACTTGAATCATCAAAGCTGTTCTAAAACCAAATGAAGCTTAACAAATGGCTTAGTCTTGCTTGTATATGGAGCAGGGAGGAGTGAGAGAAAACCTATTCACCTAATTATGAATTCATTGTTGTCCTCTTGCACAACTGCACATCGGGATGGAAAGCTTTAATTCATTTGCTCAACTGTCCTTTCAGATGAATTATTTTCCCCAGGAATAACTCTGGTTCTACATTCTGCGCACTGACAAAACTCCCAGTGCTGGTTATTGCTGCTTTTGGAATCACACTGCCTTTTGTGCAGCAACCTGTGGTTTTTTTTTCTCCAGCTCTACTGTTAAACTTAATTATCAAACAAAACAGTACCACAACCACATGAACAGACCAAGCAACTTTTTGACCAGAAGGTCCATAGCTATTACAACAAATGTTTAGATCAAATTTGTTTCCAACCTGCTCTGGTCAGACCTCTTTCTATCTTAGCCCTTTGAGTTCTGCATTGGGTGCCAAATAAGGCTGTTTTGGTTTAGGAATGGTATTCTCCAATTTAGTGCTCCCACTGAAACACTTCTAACCACGTGCCCCTCACTCACTCCCTGTTTCTCTCCCCCTGAGGTGGAATGCAGAGGAGAATTGGAGGCAGGAAAAGCAAAGATCACTAGTTGAGATAAGGACAATTAACTGGAAACAGCAATGAAATAAGAAACAAACATTAAGAGCAACAATTTCAATAAAGTGTACAAGATGGGTGAATGATTCACATGTGACTGCTCATCACAACTTCTCTGGTTGCCAAAACTAGAACAGTTTGGTTGACAAGAAGATACTTGGGTTATTTTAGATTTTTATTCCCATTTTAAAAATATTTCACATTAGTTTAGTTTTACCAACAGTAGTATTGAAATAACAGATGAAGGGAGAAATGTCTGATGTAATTATTTTTTGCATACATATTCCTATTTAGATCTCCTCAGACCTGAGACATTTGGCAGAAGATAACCTGAAGGGGACATCTCTGTCACCTTATGCACTATATCATAATTTTCATATGCATAAATTACATGGTATTTTTTTTCATAACCTTTTTTGTTGTGATTTGAGGACTGTTTTGAGAATGTTTTCCATGGGAGGAGTTTGTTCATCTCAAGTTTTCTTGCAGATGTGATGAATGCTGCCTGTGTCTTCAGAGCACAGACAAATGCTGAGGAATAAAATGAAGTTAGATTGACTAAATGAGATGATTGGATCATCTACTCAGGCATGTAAGTTAATTGAACTGCCTTTATAAAAAACTGTGGAAGTAGTCAATCAAGTTGCTCCACCAGCAGCAGAACAAACAGATCCTGGTTTCTTACAGATATGGCTGAGTAGCTGGAGGTTTTGGTGTCTGGAAGATGTGAGATCCAGCTGATGCCTTTTTGCAGATAGGATGATTCCAACCCTGCTGCTGTGTGGGCATCTTTGCCTGTATAGTAAGGCTGGAACAAAAGTTGCAACCTTTCTCTCTGTCGGTGCTGAGATTCTCTCTTCTCAGCTTAACTACCTAATATCATAATGCTTGATGAAAATCACTGTCTTTGAGGAAATTATTGATTCAGAAATTACTGGAGAGAGAGAGAAGGAGAGATAAGGATCATTTCTTTAGGAAGCCTTGGTATAAAAAGTTATAAGGCAGTGAAGATCAGTGATTAACTATTTTTAGTGCAGTCTTAAAAATGAATTCTGATTTTCTTCATTCTTTTATAATATAGGGAAATTCAAAATTATTAAGCCTGTTTTGGACTTGTTTTTTCTTTGGTGTTTTTGTTTGTTTGTTTGTTTGTTTTTGTTTTTTGTTCTAGGTTTTGGTTCTGGTCTTATTTTTTTTAGCTGTAGATCGCCTTTAAAGTACATTGCTTTGCATACACTGGAAGCTGTAACATCCATCAGGATATGCTTGTGATGTGAAAATTGTATGCTTTCATTCTTTTCATAACATAAAAGAAAATGGCTTTTCTTTTTCTACATGTGACACAGGCATTTATCCTTGCCTGTTGCTTTGGGAAGCTTCTTCTTTACTTGTCTTGAGCATTTTCCACTTTTTTAGTAAATACGCAAAGAATTTTAATTGAACTGTGCTACTGAATCAGTCCCAAATCACAAAAAAACCCAAACCCTCTGAACTCTAAGCCCTTCTAAATGCTTCCCAAAGCATGTAGATCTGAATTAAAATCAGTGCAAGGAAATGTACAATAGGGAGAGGAAAAGCCAGGGAAATAATACCTCTCGATTTGTGTAAAGTAAATTAATTAGCGTAATATGTAAGATAAGAGGAAAAGGCAAGTTCTTCCCTTTGACACTGGAACCTCAGGATAGAAACATCCTAAGGAGGAACTTTGTCTCAATTCATGCTGATAATTAACACTCAAATTTTGCTGTTTCTTAGAAACTTATCTCCCCCTCTCTTGCATTAATCTTTTGCTGAAATTTTGCTACAATAGGATTTTTAAGAATAAAGAGAGGGAATAGAAAACATTTCTTTTTTTTTTTTCCTAGTTATAGTGTATCTGAAATAGCAATGATTATGCTACAGAAAACCCAATCTCAGTAATATGAATAACTGAATGAAGGCATTCTTAACACTGCTGAACTTAATTGTCATGTAAGAGCCTAATGTTAGCCAATTCCAATTTCTTCATCCAGCAAAAAGGATATATGCAGCTTTGTGTGGGAAGAGAATATAGAAACAGCCTAATTTATCTTGCAGTAGGAAAACCTGACTAGAAGTTGATTATGTCAGTCAATGCTAATGTTTCTGTTTCTGAGGACTAACTGTGAGCAAAAAATGATAGTGCAGAACCTTATTTGAAATCCAGTTTCCCTTTGTTCCCCCTTCATTTGTAGAAAGGGATGCTGTGCTGTGGACCTGTACTAAGTTCACTTCAACAGCTGGATGCAGTGATTCACATTAGATGGAGAGGTAACAGCCTCCAGGACATTTCATCCATACATGATTCATAGGATTCTGGCTTTTTGACAGCATGTGACTTACAGGGAGCACACCTGTGAAATCCTCTTTACAATTGCTGCTTCCAGCCAATCCCATCTCCTGGCTGTCAGCTCTCCATTCCTTTCATCTCTAAACCCAAATTTTCCCAGCTTGTCTTAAGTGGTGAGTGCCTCCAAGAAACAGTTTTTCTCAGTAAGAATTCCAGTGATAATTTGTAGTGACTTGTCTTGACTGAAAGGAGTTGAGGGAAATAACAGTTGTGCCATTTTCTTCACTATTTCAAATATTAGCGGGGGAATTGTAATGATGGCGTGCGCTGGATCAGTGCTTTATGTAGACCTAAGTCATGTGCTGTTTGGTGCACATTAACATCATCACATAAGGTGTAACATATTTCCATCACATAGATGACAGGGCAGTCTTGCTCAATTTCCTGGCAGGACACAAAATCAATAGAGGTGTATGAGAATCAAAACTATAATTACATACATGAGGGCTTTCTTCAGGTCCAGTCAAAAATACATGAGAGTCTGTACTGGTTCCATTCCTGCTGTATGTCTATTCTGTGTCTGTGTGCTCTCCATGCCATGGCCTCCAGATCTATCAGTTTGTTTCTTTGCATAAAACTGACTCTGAAATTTTTGATAGACAGTTAGCAAATATGCAAGTCTGTGAAATTGCACATTACAGATGAATGCAGATGGCTTTTTAGGTTTCTTTTTATCCAAGATTTATATATTGAAACGAAGTTGATGTCCCTGCCATTGCTTATCATCATGAATAATCTGTTAATGACATTGTAAAATACTTTCACATCACAAAACCTTATGTGTCAGCTTTCATATTTTTTGCTTGGTATCAGAAAGCATTTATTCTGTTGCCACATTTTCTACATACTTTCCATGTTGGCATAATCCTAATAATCACATGATACACATGTGAGCATCTTGGATCAATATAAACAAAAAAAAAGTATTTTTTTCTCTCTTTATTTAATATCAAGCTATGCAAAATGAAAATAAAGAGACAGAAAATAAAAGCAGTGGCGAGCTGTTGACAGACAAATAAAAGAAAGCATTTTTAAGTGATCCAGGTTGTACCAAAAGAGGCCAAAACTTTGTGTGCAGTTACAAGCAATCATCTGAATTTTTCCCCACTAAAGAAAGAGCTTTCTCTAAAAGATTGCAGACTCATGCCTCACAATTAAAAGAAAATAATTTACTTTCATCCTTAGATAATTTTGTTTTGGTTGCTAGTCATGTTTCTAATGTAATTGGTAGAACCCCCAGTCTTGTCAGCTTTCAAAACCTTTTTATACTGTAGAAAAGCAGCTGACTGTTTCTGGAAGTAGGTAACTGAGTATTTGACCTATATTATCTTTACTGTACTCTTTGAATTAAAAAAACCCCTGATTTTCATTTAGTTACTGAGGAATTCCAGATGCAGGGCTTTGACATGGTGAATGTCTTCAAAGAAAGAATGTCTCTAAGTTCAGGGTTTGATTCTTTACTTCCACCTACCAAAACAGACAAGACTTTCTTGCAGATCCTCAAATAATTGTTTTTCAGATATGCATTGACTGCTTTCCACAAATAAGAAGTGCTGAATAAATTCTTCATTGGAACTATTTTTTCTTAAAGGAATAAAAAAATGGAGAATTTTTCCATAGGGAATTCAAAACAGAGGTTTTAATTTTAAGCAAAGCTCATAGTCTCGAGTATTATCATGGGAGGAAGCAAGAAAATTTGTCAAACTCACTTATCTGAAGCTGCCCATTGTGGCAACTGTTTTCCTCAGTCTTGGAATATGTGCAAAGCAAACCAATGACATGGAATATTGTTCAGCTTGTAGAGTTTGAAGCTGTCACAGGCATATGCTTGAGTGAGACCTTAAGAACACAAAGAACAGCAGGGGAACTCCTCCTAGGCTTTTTACTTCTCCTACAACACCTGCTGCTAACACCATCAAGTTAATTCCAGGGTAAGTTGTTGTGGAAGAGGCACTCTTTTTCCTGTTTTTAGCAGAATCTCAGAAGCTCAGGCTGTCTTGGCAACAAAAATAATCCAGATGTAGGTGGGATGGCTCAAGAATAAGGTGGATAGATGTCTAGGAGCTACTCCGTGAGTTAGGAGGAGTTTGCTATACCAAATAGGATGAAAATGAGAGTTGAAATCCTTGTTTAAAATGATGTGTGATTTTTAAACTTTCTTTCAAATATGTTTGAGTCGAGTCTCATATTTCCCAACAGATATGGGGATCTTATGGCATATTTATATATAGACTTGCAGTTCTGGTTTTGTGTTACCACCAGAGACGAGGTTGCTGCAAACAGTGTTGGCAGAGAACTGGGATGTAAAACAGAGAAGGCTCCTTTTCAGAAATTTAACCAAAATGAAGTAAAGCTGAGCAATTCTAATGATGAGAACTTGTAAGAAGACTTGTTAAATTTTGCTGTTTCTTGGAGTAGTGCTAACAGGAAAGCTTGTTCTAGAACTTTCTCTGGCTTCCTTTGTCTTTAGAAACTCATCACTACTAAAGTTTTATTAAAAGAGCTATTTGAAATTAGTTCTGATTTAAAGAACAGACAAAATTCAGAACCTTTTAAAAAGTTTAATATTTGACAAGCCATGTTCAATGTAAACCTTAGTTGTGGCTTATGACTTGTAATTTATTCTTGCACATGGTATACAAAGCTTTTATGAATTCATCACCAGTGAAGAAGAGGTACATAATTTCACATTTAAATGCAGTGGCTGGTGGTGCTGCTTTGTTTTAGAGATCCTGATGCTTACTCCACAGAAAAAAAATCTGTGTTTTGTCAGCACTGGATATGTAAAGGTCTCTTTTTGTTGGATTGTGGAAACTCAACTTTTATATAGCTTAGTTTATCTTCTTTGGTTTGTAATGCTATGAAAGTCATAGCATAAAGTGGGGGGCACACATACATTTGTCTGTATCTATTCTTTTTTCAGGAGTTTATATTCAGGTACACAGTGCTGTTGTTGTCTCAGTCACACCTTTGCTCCTTTCGGGCTTACTATGCAAATAATTGTAAGAATGGGGCTTATAGCTGATGTGAAGTGTATTCTTCCAGGTTAATTGTTGAAAAGAATTCAGGATGAGCAACATAAAATCCAACATAATTCTGAATGAGAGTACCTACAAGAGGATTTAGTGGTTTAAGTATTTTATTAGATTAATTTGGATTTCTGAGTGTACTTAGGTAATTGAGCTTTCTGACATATGCTATGAAATAATTTCCTGCCAATTTGACTACTGTGGAACTTTGTAACTTGAAGATGTTTTACTTCTTATTTCTTCTGCCTCTTAATCGCACCACCAAGTAAATTTTGATACTGTTGTTACTTCTCAACTCACTCCCATGTGATACTTTTTAGCCACTGTATTTTAGGTGGCCAGAGATACTAACAAGCTCCAACAATTTTGTTTCCTTCAAAGCTTGTCTTAATGCTGCAAGTTTTTCTGAACTTGTGTTACTTTATCAAAATGCCCTAAGTTTGCCACTGCAACAACTCAGCTGGGGTGTAAATGCTTGGACTGTGCTAAAAAGTTGCTTTTTTACAATTTCTCTCTCTTCTGATGCTGTTAGCTAATGGGTAGCACCTAGGCTTGTTGTTGAACAGATATGCTCCTCAATATTTGGTGGTTGTTCTCAGTTGGTGTTGACATGGCACAAAAGCTGATGAGACAAGAAAAATGAGGTATTTTTTTGTGTTTTTTGTGCTTTTGTGCTTTTGTATGCCTGTGCCCAAGGTAATG